GAAGGAGCGGTCATGCCGTGAGCTTAATCGACTAGCTCAAGAGATGCTTTCTGGGTTGAATGTATGCAACCCAAAGAGTAACTGTGTTTGTGAAGCTGTGGCTGCTTCTATTTTGGAGTGGGATCCAATCACATACCGCCAGCAAAATCAGCTTGTGAAATCAACGTTGCCTGTGAGATCTTGTGCAATAGGCTTAAAGTAAAGGGTAAAGGGACCCCTGACCATTAGGTCCAGTCGTGACCGACTCTGGGGTTGCAGCGCTCATCTCGCTTTATTGGCTGAGGGAGCCGGCGTACAGCTTCCGGGTCATGTGGCCAGCATGACTAAGCCGCTTCTGGCAAACCAGAGCAGCGCACAGAAATGGCATTTACCTTCCCACCGGAGTGGTACCTATTTATCTACTTGCACTTTGACGTGCTTTCGAACTGCTAGGTTGGCAGGAGCAGGGACCGAGCAACGGGAGCTCACCCTGTCGCGGGGATTCGAACCGCCGACCTTCTGATCGGCAAGTCCTAGGCTCTGTGGTTTAACCCACAGCGCCTCCCACGTCCCATGCAATAGGCTTACTTCGTCAGAATATCAAACTTTCTGCAGTAAGGAACGTGATGATATGTACCCTTGCATATTGCGACCCATTCGTGTTACCTGCACTCAAAAGCGTGCAGCCATGCTGTGTAGAAAAAAATTTACTGCAGGAACATTTATCATCATTTCATCATTTTTTATTTGTATGCCGCCGTCCCACAGTTAAAAAAACAATGCTCAGGGCGGCTTACAGCATGAAAAGATTTACATAATCACAAAAGTCATGAACAATAAACAAACCACATCAAAAAAATACACAACTAGACGGGGAACAATTTCCACATAAATCAAAATCTAAAACTAAGAGCATCAGGTTTTGTAAGAGCCAGAGGTGGTGGCGACGTAAGAGATGTTAACACCAACTCTGAGAACTAGGCTGTGGTGAAAGGTGTCTTAGTAGCTGGAATGTACCCCGATATAGTTCACGTTGACAGAGAAAACATTGTTTTCACTGGGCCAAAAGAGGGAAAAAGTTACCGTATTTTTCGTCCTATAGGACGCACCTCGTTTTTTGGGGGGTAAATAAATAAATAAAAATTATTTTCCCCCCCCCCTGCCCTGGCTGCTGCCCCAAGCCTTGCGCTCACCTGCCCAAAGCACGGGGCACCCTCCGGAGGGCTCCCCGTGCTTCGGGTGACAGGCTGCCGCCCCAAGCCTCAAGCACCCGGCGGGACCTCCTGCCGGGCGCGCAAGGCTTGCAGACACTTGCCCAAAGCACGGGGAGCCCTCTGGAGGGCTCCCCGTGCTTAGGGCAACAGGCTGCCGCCCCAAGCCTCTCGCGCTCGGCGGGACCTCCTGCCGGGCGCACAAGGCTTGTGGACACTCGCGGGGGCTGCAGGCTGCTGCCCGCAAGCCTTGTGAGCCCGCGGGAACTCCCACCGGGCTTGCAAGGCTTGCAGATAGCTTCCTGAAGCCTGGAGAGCGAGAGGGGTCGGTGCGCACCGATGCCTCTCGCTCTCCAGGCTTCAGCGAAAGCCTGCATTCGCCCCATAGGACACACACACATTTCCCCTTCATTTTTGGAGGGGAAAAAGTGCGTCCTATGGGGCGAAAATTACGGTAGATTTCATCCTACCTCAGTTCTTAGCCAGCCCCAGTATAAAAAGTTTCCTCCAGCAAATGGTCAAGTGGCAGCTATTCATGCACAACATTGGGCATGTCCATGTGCCTCGTTTTTAGGCACAGCTCCAGGCTTTAAAACTCTGCATCCAAACACCAAGCGTTTCCTGGAAAAACCGCAAATGGCAATCAGATTTTTCACATGTGGGGCTTCCCAGGGAAAGAGCCCGGACAAAAACAAAACAAAACCCACTCCAACATGGAGCTTCAAATCACGGACTTGTGTCTGGAAATCAAGTCCATTATCTCATGTCCCAGCAAACAGATCAGGATAAATGCTCAATAAGCAGGTCATCTGAAAGTATTGCCCTGTGTTCCCATACCTATATTTACCCATGAAAATAAAGAAGTGGCAATTATAACAACACAACAAGATGGAAGAAATAAAATATTGATATCACACATGGGTGAAGGGGAGTGGGGGGCATGTGAGAATCTATAATACTATTTATAATATAAATTTCCTAACTGCGATGTATTTACATACAGCAAAGGGAAGCCTAGAGCAATCATGTATATTTTAATTTAGGTAATCTATGTAATAGGCTTGTTGGGAGCCTAGGACTTGCCGATCAGAAGGTCGGCAGTTCGAATCCCCGTGACAGGGTGAGCTCCCGTTGCTCGGTCCCTGCTCCTGCCAACCTAGCAGTTCGAAAGCACCTCAAAGTGCAAGTAGATAAATAGGTACCGCTCTGGCGGGAAGGTAAACGGCATTTCTGTGCGCTGCTCTGGTTTTCCAGAAGCGGCTTAGTCATGCTGGCCACATGACCCGGAAGCTGTATGCCAGCTCCCTCGGCCTATAGAGCGAGATGAGCGCGCAACCCCAGAGTCGGTCACGACTGGACCTAATGGTCAGGGGTCCCTTTACCTTTATGTAATAGGCTTGTGTTAGAAAACGAATATGCATTTTGAATTTGATGTTTGTATTTTGTTTCTTTTTGGTTTTGAAATAAAATAAAAATAAAATAAAAAAGAAGTGGTTCCATAAATTATGTCAGCAAATGAGACTTTGTTAAGAGTACTGGTTCTAGTTTTGAGGGGAGGGGGCTTGGGCAAGATATCCTCAGCAGCACCCCTACCCCAAATATCTTTCTTGTTGCTGCCACTCTTTCCTATTCTTTTGCCTCCTCTCTCCTCTGGGCCTAATGCATACAACAGTCCAGAGGGCGCATGCAAGGCATGTTCAAGATTCTGCTGCAACTGATCCCTCTTGTCACTGTTTGTACACTCAGAAAAGGCAGATGAACAGGCAGAGAGACCAAGGGAGAAGAGCAGTAGGGGCTCTGGATAACTGAATTTAAGTGTGGGGAAACTGAGAAACCGAGAGGACAGAAATGGACAGATCCCTCCATCCCACCCCCTGACCTTTCAGCCCTTGTTCAACTCCTAATGGGGATCCTTGCTGTAAATATGTTGCCAAATACGGAGGCTAGGATTGAAGAGGTCATGGTCTGGTCTCATGAAAAGTAACTTGAAGGCTGCATATTGTCACTAAAGGAAATGCCAAGAGGATCACCACCATTCAGAGTTGACTGAAGGGTCAAGAAGAGCGAGCGTTCATGAGTGTGGCAAGGCCTTATGTAATGCGCTGTGCTTGAACTAAGAGAGCTTATCTTGATACTGTGTCTGGGATGGGTGAGGCAGCGGAGTGCGTTTCCACCCAGGGTCGCTGCTGATCTCCAAAGTCTGGTACAAGCCATGACCTTTTAATGACAATCTAGTGGCTTGTGGATTAGCCCTCAGAGACAGATGTTGAGCTTCCTTTGAAACCGGTAAAGAGTGGTTCTTGAAGGCCATTTCTCTGCATTCTGGTTGGAAGGGGAAACTTCTGGAAAGGCATTGTTCCGTCCCTGAGGGGAATAAGACAGAGTGGTCTACTCTGTGGGGCATATCTGCACGGGAAGCTCTAATTCTGCAAGGGGGCTAGGGAACTTTAATACAATTGTTATAAGAAAAAACTGCATCTACAGTTTCCAGAGTTGTTTGGGTAAACCACAGCAGATAAACTAGTATAAAACAAATGTAAGCTTGTTGTGTGCATATATATTTGTGTGTGGGTATTTAAAAACAGGCCACAACTTTATCGATTAGAGCAAAGTAATCAGGGGTTCACACAGCACTGAGGATAAGGATCAGTGTGCATTCAAACAGTCCACCTGCTGCTTGCCATCCCAACACAACAGCCAAGGAGGCAGTCAACGGCAAAAAAAACCCAACCCTTCGTGACACAGACCACTGATGTGTGTATATATTATTTGAGTACAATGCATGCAAGCAGATGAGCTCAGCCAAAGAAATGAGGATTGTTGAACTTGGCCAAATATCTTATGCAGAATTCTCACGAACTAGTACTCCACTGCTTAGTTAGACTATTTTGGTCTTAATCTGTGTTTCTGTTAATAGGCTTTCAAAATAATTATACTAGAAATAGTAAACTACTGGATTAAACAAGAACATGGTAACCTCCAAGTTTTTGGTGCTTTGCAATGAAGATTTTGAGATTTTACCTTGTATTTTTATGTTGTGAACCACCCTGAGATCTATGGACGAAGGATGGTACACAAATTAATTGATTGATTGATTGATTGATTGATTGATTGATTGATTAAATAAATAAATATAGATAGATAGATAGATGATAGATAGATAGATAGATAGATAGATAGATAGATAGATAGATGATAGATAGATAGATAGATAGATAGATAGATAGATAGATAGCCCCCTGCTCTGAGGTCCTTAGAATTTAAATTCTGTCACTCGGGGATGGAGCCCCCACTGAGTTGTGTGCATGCAAAATATATGCAAGTTTTAAAATCTTCTTGGTTTCAGGCAACAAGTTATAAAAAATGATCTAAAGGGACGCGATTCGGTGTTTCTTTGCTGAAGTTAAGCATGTGAGTTTGGGCCTGGACAGAAAAACATCTGGAGACTTCAGGTAGAGTAGGGTTGCCACTTGTCCTGTATAAGACAGGATTGTCCCTTATTTCAGTGCAAAATGCTACATCCTGTATTGATACTGTTTTGTTCTGTGCTTCAGGTTCTCTCTCTCTCTCTCTCTCTCTCTCTGCCAAGTTAGGGATGCTTTCCAGATTCGTGTGTTTGAAAAGGTGTGTGAAAGGTCATGCATTTAAGCCCTGGGTAGCCAAGCACAGACAGATTTACAAATTCATGTCTCTGCATGTGACAAATTCCAGCGGGTCCAACCCGTTAGGCTGTAATAGATTGTAATGGATTGCTTTTGAAGCACAAAACTGATATTTCCCCCCCAACTGCCCCATCCCGTATTTTGCCAGAACAAAGGTGGCACCCCTAGATATATATAGTTGTCTTTATTTAGATATCTATATTTGAGATCACTGGAGGAAAGTTCCAGCGCATGTTAGGATGCATGAGTTTCTAATTTAGCAGGCCATGTGCTTCAGAGGAGACAGAGGGCTGGACATGGAAGAGGTGCTGCTGCTTTGGCTATTTAGGCTCATCAGTTGGGATGCTTTCTTGGATTAGGTAAAAGCAATGTGTGTTTGGTAACAGCTGATGGTCCAGTGTGGGGATTACTAGTGAAGTTGTTTACATAATGGATTATCCATCTTTAAGCATCTTACTCAGGTCCAGGAGACAAAGAGCCAATTAGTGCCTTTCCAAACACCTTATTTAAAGGCAGCCAGCACAGTGCTATCCATAGTCAGGCCCCTTCAGAGCAACAAGGACAAATTGCTTGGAATAAGTTCAAGAAGACTCAGCAATCCATCAGGTAGGTCTTTCAATAGCTGTAGAAGATGCAATTTTGTGTCATTTTATTCCTGGTTCGTTGAGGTGTCTTCTTATTCCATCTACTGAGATGCATTCGTTATTTACATAGATAATTAGTTTTTTGCTGCCTTTGGCCAGTTTTTAATACAATCTCTGATGGCGAAGCCCAGCTTCCACGTAAAGTGGTGTGATCCACTTAAATGCTTTTGATGGGCTTCCATAAGGTTTGGACTATGGTGCAGATCAGATACCTGAATTTCATGGCAAGGTGTTGGCTAAAAGATGTCCACCCTTTGGTTTAACAAGTTCGACCTGATACATGTGTTGTCTGGAGGGATATGAGGGGGTCACTGCAAAGTGGCTGTTTCCAGATTGCTAACAATAACACCTGAAGAACGGCAATTACTGTACATAGTTAGGCCAGTAATGGGATTTCGGTTACTTCAACTTTATCCTGACACGTTAGAGTCCAGGAAAGCTTCAGCATTTGAGTCTGCTGACTAGGTACACTAACCCTCAAGGGACGTGGGTAGTGCTATGGTCTAAACCACAGAGCCTCTTGGGCTTACTGATCAGAAGGTCAGCGGTTCAAATCCGTGCGACGGTGTGAGCTCCTGTTGCTCTGTCCCAGCTCCTGCCAACCTAGCAGTTCAAAAGCATGCCAGTGCAAGTAGATAAATAGATATCACTGTGGTGGGAAGGTAAACGGTGTTTCAGTGCGCTCTGGCACTCGTCACAGTGTCCCGTTGCACCAGAGGTGGTCTAGTCCTGCTGGCCACATGACCCGGAAAGCTGTCTGTGGACAAATGCCGGCTCCCTCAGCCTGAAAACAAGATGAGCGCCATAACCCCATAGTTGCCTTTGACTGGACTTAACCGTCCACGGGTCCTTTACCTCTCTCCCTTTACTAACCCTCAGCAATGCCACATCAATCCTTTGGAAAGTTTCATATATATATATATATATATATATATATATATATATATATATTTGCTTTCGTAGATTTTCACGGGTATAGGAATGCAGGTTTTGGTGTCCTCGGGTGTCTTCCCGTGTAAAAGTTGGGGTGTCTAGGCGACGTTTCGACGAGGTCTCACTCGTCATCTTCAATATATATATATGCAGGTTTTGGTGTCCTCGGGTGTCTTCCCGTGTAAAAGTTGGGGTGTCTAGGCGACGTTTCGACGAGGTCTCACTCGTCATCTTCAGGCTGGTGCTTTCGGCTTCTTGTTACTGGAACAGAGCAGGATCTCAGTGTTTGAGTTCCTATAAATACTGTTGAGGAGGTGTGGTGTATAGCCTCCAATGTTCTGGGCAGAGAGGAAGTTCCCAGGCTAGTGTGCCTTTTCTTCTTTTGTTCCTTAATTACTTGAGGGATATCTTGAGTGATTTCTTGAGTGATATCCTGAGTACCACTTAGGTGGGTCATTAGGTGTGGATTAGTTGCTAAAGCCTTCGTGTCTTGACCTCTTGAACTTTGTGAAGAGTTTTTCTGAGAAGATGGCTGTACTGCACTTAGTTGTGCTCTGGCTTGGCTTCGTGTATAGGGGCGAGCTGTGGTATAGGGGCGAGCTTCGTGTATAGGGGCGAGCTATACACGAAGCCAAGCCAGAGCACAACTAAATGCAATACAGCCATCTTCTCAGAAAAACTCTTCACAAAGTTCAAGAGGTCAAGACACGAAGGCTTTAGCAACTAATCCACACCTAATGACCCACCTAAGTGGTACTCAGGATATCACTCAAGAAATCACTCAAGATATCCCTCAAGTAATTAAGGAACAAAAGAAGAAAAGGCACACTAGCCTGGGAACTTCCTCTCTGCCCAGAACATTGGAGGCTATACACCACACCCCCTCAACAGTATTTATAGGAACTCAAACACTGAGATCCTGCTCTGTTCCAGTAACAAGAAGCCGAAAGCACCAGCCTGAAGATGACGAGTGAGACCTCGTCGAAACGTCGCCTAGACACCCCAACTTTTACACGGGAAGACACCCGAGGACACCAAAACCTGCATTCCTGTACCCGTGAAAATCTACGAAAGCATATATATATATATATATATTATTAGTCTGTCTGAAAATTTTCCAATCTAATCTCTCAGTATGCATTTCTTATCTTCCCTATTACATTTCAAACTCATAACCAATATCTCTATCTTTTTCTACTTTGTAACACTTCGCATATTTCTCCTTACAAAACTTCTCGTAGTCCTACTAGCGTAATTTGTTGATTACAGTTGCTCTTCAAATAATTCACATACTTCTTCCAATCTTCTGTAAATCTCTGGTCCCTCAGGTTTCGAATCCTTCCTGTCATTTTGTCCAATTCTGTTCCAAATCCTTTTTGTCATTTTGTTCCAAATCCTTTGGAAGGTTTCTAGGGGATAGAATTGGATGTTACACCCAACCTAGTGCTTCATTGCTTATGGTTTGGATTCTGGAAATCTGATTCCTCTCAACTTTAGGTTAGCTTGCCCTCCGTCTCCTGCTTAATACTCACAGCTTGATCAGCCATGTGGCAGCTGCCTTGCCTGTTAACGCTCAAGGCAAGGAGACGGACACACGTAGCAGACTACTGCAGGCAGATCACCTTGTAGGATTAGGGAAACTTCCTGGACGGAACAGATGGAAAATGCACAGCCAGGCCTTGTCAGGGACCAGCTGGATGAGGGGGAGTGGTGGGAGCCGGCAGCCCAAGAGACTTCCAAGAAGGGCTCTGACTGGCTGGATGAAGAAGACTTCTGGGGGGCTGCCTCCCAAGACAACCCCCTCCCAGGAGGACACCTTAGAACCTGGATCTTGGTGGTGGGACATTGAAGAGCAGTAAGCCGAAGGGATGAGCTGGGAGCTGATAGAAGCAGGAGACTTGAGTGATCAAGGGCGTTCAGGAGAAGGAGGGCCCTCCAGGAAAGATTAGAAGCTGAGAGTCACAGTGTTTGTGCAGACAGTCCCAGTCCTGCTGGCTCTCCTCCCCCTCTGGCTCCCCACTCAAGGAGGGTCCTGCACATTGCTGAGCAATGCACCAGACAAGCCCAGATGTGGAGCCGACCCCCTTGGCACAGCCTTCATTTGCTTAGGAGGGATCCGGAATGAGAGGCTAGAGGGGGAAGAGCATGCCTAGGACTCAGTTTCGTTAAGACGAAGCAGGGACATTAATAATAATAATAATTTTATTATTTATACCCTGCCCATCTGGCTGGATTCCCCCATCTGGCTGGATTTCCTATGGAGGAGCATTCTATCATATAAGTCCCCACCTGCAGATTGAACCGGCACAGGCTAGACACAGCTTGACCACCTTAGTGAGAACTAGAACTCAGTAACAACTTGCACACAGTAGTCGCTGGACTGGGGTTCTGGATGTTGACCAGCAATGAGGACGTACATCAAGGCAGTAAACCTATGGTCCATTTAACTCAATGGAGCTTTCTTTGGAGTAAACATGCATGAAATTGGGCTTCAAGGGTTTCAGAAATGTCAAGTTTCAAGGAAAGTAACTGGAAAGCATACTTAAATCAACAAGGCAAAGGGAGCACAAGAGACATTTGCTACAGAATATTTGCAAACTATAAATGATGTGTAAGGCGATAAAGTAAACAGACATTACTTGTGAGACAGTTATCCAGTTGCTTGATACATTCAAGCAAACATCTCTGCTGAATAAATGCAGATGAGTCAGTCTCTGTAATTTAGCTTTTCTCATTGTAGATGGCAGCGATTTGTGTTGTTATCCCCTTGTATTTTTTTTGCCCCTAAGTATTTTTGGACTTCTGAGATCCCTGAAGTTCCCCTGAGCTTGCTTATACTTCTCTGTTGGGAAAGGATGGTGCTGTTTTGGCACTTTGGGAAATGAATTCGCTATTGGCATAAGACCTTACTGCAGATAGAACTCACAGTGTGCCAAGAACCCTTAGTTAAATGCATTTCCTAGGATTTGGATGTCTCCAGTTCCACCCTTGTACCCACCGCCAATAGTGGCAGACCTTGGGATCTCAAATTTCAGTGATCCCTGTGTGATGCCAAAATTCAGCGCCACCCTGACCAAGTTTCTAACCAGTGCTGAACAAACTGCGTTGCTCCACAGAATGAAATACGCTCAGTACACATTCCTGGTGACGATCATCTCCATTATCGATTACTCCTCGGCGCAGCCTTCATGTGCAGTGGAATCTTTCTCTGTGAAGGAAGACTTTGACCCCAAGAGGGTAACTATGAATACTTTCTAACATAAAGGGTGACGGTGAGCTCGTGTAATGCAGTTCATTTGCAAAGGTGTTGTTGCAAGCCACCCCAATCTCCAAGCGGTGAAAGATTCCCACGGTTCATGTTTCTTTTGGGAAATGAGGCACTGTGGAGACTGTGGTGTCTTTGTGATATATGGTTTATTTACAAATATATACAACTTGAGCCTACAGTGGAGGGGTTCACTGTATCAACACCCCATAAGGGTCTTGTTTCTCTCATAGTCGCAGCCTTGGATCCAAACAAACATCAAGCATCGTGCTTTGCCTCTCTGGCTTTCCAACTGGCTGCTTTTGCTTCCAGCTTCTAGCTCACAAGCAGCCAAATTTTAGCTCTAAACTTTTGCTTTATTCCTCCTCACTATCTGAGAGTTGAGGCTGGGGCCCCACCCATTTGCTGTGCTGTCTTGCACAGAGCCTCTTCCTTTGTTCTCTTTATACCTGACCAGGAGGCTAGTCTGTCTATTTCTTGGAATTTGAAGGTTTGATTAGCTTTTAACACTTTCTGGATCCAGGGATAGAAGAGTCTGGTGCTTAGTTTAACGCACACGCACCAAACTCACAACAGTATAAATGTGATGGGAATGACAATTAAGTTTCTGAAATGACCTTTCCAATTTGCTAGCCGTCCTCGAGTGTTTCTCAATTTTTGGGCTTCGGTCTCTGCTTCCGAACATGCTTCCCTCAGCTTGTCATGTTAGGGTTAGTACACATGCCACTGGCATGCAAAGGTATTGGAGCTGTTTCAATGTCATTGGTGGTAACATATGCAGAAAGGTGACCACACAGGCAGGGCCAGTGATGTCTCCCACCTGCAGCCTCAAGCGGTGCAGATCCTGCTGATAAACTGAGCCTTGGTCTTCAGATGTTACCACATCAGTTACTTGGAAGGGCTCCAGAATTAGGCTTTATACATGAACCAATGCTTAACTGTTTGAAATTTGGATTTGGATTATAGAAGTCTGCTTGCTTTGAACTCTCAGGCAATGCCTGGTAACTCAGCTTCAATTAATACTTTAGCCTGGTGCCATGTGGTCACTGTCCTTCCTGGTAACTTTCAATGTCCTTTGCATTTTAGTATGCAGGTAAATGGTATGCGCTGGCCAAGAAAGACCCAGAAGGCCTGTTTCTACAAGATAACATCTCAGCTGAATATACCATTGAGGAGGACGGCACTATGATTGCATCTTCCAAAGGCAGAGTGAAGCTTTTCGGGTAAGTCACGGGGTGACCTCAAGTAGGCTTCCTTGTATTCCTGGTCACCTGCTCCTACTGACATCATATTCTGTTCCTGTAATCAAGATGTGTTGTGGCAACTACTAGGTTGTAGGGCTGAGCCGAAGTGGGGAGAAGGTGCCTTTGCAAAAGAATCCCTACCCCCCCCACACACACAAAATGTAAGCTCCAGTTCCAGTAGTTGTTGGGTATGGGGGCCTGCAAAATGGGGCAAAAATATTCATCCATTCATAGATAGTGCAAGAAATACTGTCCTTCCTCTGGTTAGACTGGAGATGTTATCACATACCCAAATCTGATTTGCTACATAATCAGAAAGCCTATAAGGTCAATGCTTCATAATCTTGCTTTGATTTTGCCGCACGATGGACCAAATGTCATTGTGTGGTCTACCTGATTCTCGAATGGCCACATTTCAGGATGTGGGCCTCTCAAGGGAAGGATTTAAGTCCTTACACGGCCAACGAAAGATGGGCTTCTGAAAAGTCACACAGTGAGAGGAGACAGGAAGAGATACACTAGACCAGAGATACGGTCAAAAGCATTTTGGTGATGGGGTAAATTGGATTCAGATTATTAGAGAGAGGCAAAAGATGGTTACGCAAGGCAGGGGTGGAGGAATCTGTGGTCTTCTAGATGTTGGACTCCCAACTCCGATCAGCCCTAGTCAACATGGTCAAGGGTTAAGGGTACTGAAAGTTGAAGCTGAACAACATCTGGATGTCCATAGATTTCCCCGTCTCTGTTGTAAGAGTAGACAAAGCAAGTAGGATTGGAATGCGCATGGAGGCAAGTAGGATACAGGAAAGGCGGACATGAAGAAGCCTGAAGGGTTAGGATAGCAATGCAGAATCAGATGAGAGCTGAGCAGGATACTGATCTGGGTGTCATATTCAGAAGCAGATGAATCCTATTTCCATACTGGCAATGAGACAGCGTGCACCACCACTCTCCTTTTTAAAAATTAGTTTTTATTAAAGATTGTCTTGCGTAAAAAACAGACAGACGAACAAGAAAGAAAAGTACATATAGCGTCTCCACTTTCAATTCATAGTCTTTTTCACACCACCACTCTTGAGGGCAGCAAAGTAGCTTTGCAGGCACACACAGCTCTGGCCTCCAACAAAAGGGAGCAGTTGAGAGACCTGATTTGGCTCCCACAACCTCTCTAGGATCTGCTGCCTGAGGCAGCTGCCTCACTCTGCCTAAAATTAGAGCTGGCTCCAATTAACGAGAATTCCTCTTCCTGTTTCAGGTTCTGGGTGATCTGCGCTGACATGGCCGCCCAATACTCGGTGCCTGACCCCACCACTCCAGCAAAAATGTTCATGAATTATCAAGGCCTGGCAAGCTATTTGTCAAGCGGAGGTGAGCAAGATATCCCTTGTTGCTCGTGGGTGAGAATGTGGAGAAAAGGGGGATGTCAAAGAGTTGTGCCTCATTCTGTATCCCAAATGAGGTGGCGGTATGTCTGTGGCCCCTTTTGACGTTATCTTAGCAGTGTGGAAGCCCTTCCTTCACCGCTTAGATTTCTTTCTTTATTGAAATATGTCTCACCTCAATATAAAATATTCAGAGTGGCTTGTAATAAGAACAAAATGAACAGTTAGGGGGGGGAATCAAGGACACAATTAAAACACACATTAAGAATAGAACTCAGCAATGGGGCTATGTGGAAAAGCCCTGAATTTCAGGTCACCTGGGAGGAGCCCACAACATACCTTTCATACTCACCAGAGCAAAGAGGAGCTGTTGCCTCAGCTCTCTCTTTCTTATACTGTACTGTATCCCACTTTTTTAATTTATACCGGGAGGAATTCAACATTGCGCCAAGTTGACTGTTCCACCAACACAAGCATTTTGGCTTGCCAGACAGAAAACCCGCCCCCCTCGTCTCCTATCAGAATGCTGTTTGTTCCAGGGGTTATTTCTACCAAATCCAATTTGCTGACAGGACTCATTAATTGAATCCCACCCCTCAGATTTATATCCCACCCTTTGACTATAGTCAGTGCTATTTTTCTAGAAAAAGAGGTGCCACAACTCACCATGAACACCTCCCTCGTACTCTTGCAATGGCAATGGGGCCCACCTGAGAGGTGCCGGAACTGAGTTCTGGTGAGTTCCAGCTGAAAGAAAGCCCTGACTATAGTCCTCAAAAAAGCTTTTGCTTTGTAAATTCCCAATGAGCAGACACACTAAGAAACACATTCTTAAAATCCGAAGAAATTCAACCAGCTCTCCTCAAATGTCTGCTTTGTATCTTATTTTCTCTTCTGGGAGCTAACATTCCCTTCTTCTCCCCCTCCCAAGTGTTAAAGACTCGTAGAGCAATTGTAGCAAGAGATAAAACCAAAGGGGAACTCTGATCCACTGATTCTCCTTTCCTACAGAGTTTAACCTGAAATCTTTGTAGCTTTCTCCATCTGCCAGGAGGAAGCCGTAACAGTTCTGAACTGGCAGAGCTGCTACTTATGCAGTAACAACAAGATGCAGCCAAGCTCAGATAGTCAACATCAGCATTGCACACAGATCCCCGCTTTCATTCTTCCATCACTCAGGGTTGGGGTGGGAGGGAATTATGCCCTGGCTGCAGAACACTTTGGTATGGCTTCAGGTAACAACATACCACTGGTATGGTTTCAGGTGACAACTACTGGGTGATTGACACAGACTACGACAACTATGCCATCACCTATGCCTGCCGCAGTCTGAAAGAGGATGGCTCCTGCGATGACGGCTACTCCCTTATTTTCTCTCGCAACCCTCGTGGTCTCCCCCCAGCCATTCAGCGCATTGTGCGCCAGAAGCAGGAAGAAATCTGCATGTCTGGCCAGTTCCAGCCTGTGCTACAGTCAGGTATGTAGAAACACACACACACCCTATTTTGCTCCTTTCTTGAACAAGGGAAGGTTCAAGGTTGCTTGGGTTGTGCTGTACCATCTGTGAAACAGTCGTGTGGACAGCCAACCTACAAGAATATCCGGTCATACAACCAGACGACCTCTTGGCTGATCTACAAAAAGCTCATGGGTGTTGTCTATGGCAGGACAATTCTCCAGCCACTCTGGGCTGCCTTCAGATGTCCTCTAAAACTTCCGTAGTTCTATATTTCCTTGACATCTGAGTAAGGTAGGACTGGGCTAAACTGTGGTGCTTTGGACACCATTGGACTGCAACTCCCATCATCCTTGACCACTGACCATGTAGGCAGGGGCTGATAGGTGTTGGAGCCCAGTAAAAGTGGAGGACCACAGGTTAGCCACGTCTGCTGTAAGGTATATAAAAAAGAGGGAATTCTTTTGTGAAGGCTGCCTTGGGCACCAGTATGTTCTGGCACCAATATGTGCCAGCAGTATGTTTCTGTGGCAAGCCCCGCTCGGGGTTTTGCATCGCCAACAAAGAGGAAATGAATCACAAAGGCACAAATCTGCATTGAATTGGCGTCAACTTCTTTATATATGGAAATAATTACTATAATTTAAATAAAAATGCATCTCATCATAACATGGTAGGCAGGGACCTGTGCACCGGCTGATTGTGCTGTCCAGAGGCTCAGTTGATGGGTCACTTCCAGTCCCCTCCTCCCTTCTCAGGGTTTTTCAAACCTTTAACTCGGACTAGGACTGCCCCTCTGTCCAGTAGGACACATGGCTACTTCAGGACTTTTGGGGGCAGCATCTAGGCTGCAACGCTAGCCTGCCTGAGTGGCCAGTCAAGTGACCCCCAAAGGCCAGCCCTTCTGCACAAAGGCCTTCTAAAGCTCTTGCTGCTTGCTCCTCAGCTGGGGCAGTTTTTCTCCAGTACACGGTCTGCATAGCTTGGTCCTGGAACTTGTCCACTTTAAGTTTGATCCATAGCTGGGAGGTGGCAGTTTTGAAACCAGAATTTCAATTCAGTCTTTGCTACGTAGTGATGAGGAGAGGCTTCAAAGCAAAATCTCAGAGAGAAGCTCTACACTTAAAAAATAATATTTGTACACATGTACAAGTTGAGAAGCCAGACCAGCTTCAAGATTAAGGGGAGCTCTAGGCAAGTGTTGACCCACTCGCTTCCACTTTCCGCTTGGAGAAAGAAAAGAGTTATTAGGGAAAGGTTACGCACTGCCTCCCTTCCCTTAGAATTGTTCTCTCTCAAAGCAGCTTTGCTTGGATGTTTTGTGTGTGTTGAAAGCATTTGTTCCACCATTGCACTTGTGTGTATATGTGTGAGTGGTTTCTGCATGGAGGTTTCTGAGGCAGCTAATAAATAAAACTGGAGCTCAACCATGCCTTGAAATGTGTAACAATGCAAAATGTTCTAGTTTGCACCGTGGTTATGACAATGCAACATCTAATGTGCGCTGTTCTTGCTTCTCTCCACAGGGGCCTGTTAAATCAAGACTCCTTCAGAGTTGGAGCCGAGGCCTGATCTCTGCATCTTGAAGTCGTCCATGTAGTGTTTGGATTAGAGCTTTCCCTCAAACACATCTAAGTGTTGGCTTGTTGTTTTTATTTTACGGCACTTGGGTGCCACACACCTCGCTTGTCTGAACTCAAAAGAACTGTGTTGATGTTTGTCAATAAATGTTTTTAAGTAATCTTTTAAACTGCTTCCTCATGTTGTGTTCACATGGGCAAATGTGTGGGGTTGGAGACATTTGTGAGCAATTCGGGAACGTTGTGGCTTTCATCTTTCGTCTACCAAACACAAAGAGATTGAAAGCCCTCCTTTTATTTAGTTTTTTAAGCTCAAAAACAAGTCATCCACTTTGGGAGAGCTGGGCAATGGGTACTTTGAATTTCGAAAAAGTGCTGTGGATACCAGTTACAAAATGGCTGCCGCATCTAAAAGACCACAAAATGGCACAGGTATACTGCCCCATCAATGTGGGGGGAGCACCTATATCAGCAACTGCCGTGGACACTCTCCCTTGTCAAAGAGATGCAATGTATTATTTACTTAAATCTAGTGGAAAGTGCCCAGCATTGCTCAAGAATGCTAAGAAACTAAAACAATTCAGTGCAGTTTTGAAAGTTTCATTTCATCATCTGGATTCAAAATGGTGTCCAAACTATACAAGTGTAGAGAAAAAAACCTGCTCCCTGATCTTAGGAGCCGTCATGCAAAATTTGGTTATGCTATGTTAGGTATCCAATCGCACGCAGAACAAGCAAAGAGACAAAGAACCTTCCGAAATATATAGCAGATCTTTATTCAAATGAGAGATTCCAAAAATTGCATGAGTACCTTTAATCAATGAGTACCTTTAATCAACTTTTTGTTTTGCGCAAGCATAGAAAATACAAATCTACTTCTAAAACCAA